TACAAATTCCTTGCTGTTCAACACAATTTGCAACAGCAAAGGAAGTTTGCAAAAACTAACAGAAGCAAGAAGCAGCCGTCTCCGCTCCCCTGAGGTGAGTTTAAACCTAGAAGAAAAGTCCAAGAGGCAGGAATGACAATACCAAGGAGGTGAGCCTACTCAGGGAGAAGTTTCCCCTCTGAGCGCGCCTTGCTCAAAATCATGAACCAGCTTGGGTCTCGAGGTCTGATGGCACCGACCCAATCTCCCTGCTCCCTCCCCCCTCCCACCAACTTTTCTTTTTTTAAAAGACTTTTCCTTCCTTTCTTAGAGGAGAATAATAAATGCTAAGTTATTTCAGAAACAGTCTAGGTCTGGAAAGAATTTAAACTTCCATAGCACAAATCTATAAATGTTTAATTTTCTCATCTCTGCCCATAAGAAGGCTGTCCAGAAAATACATTATTACAGGAGATCTTGCCGCTTGCCCATTAAGCATGGCTGCTGGTGGTAAATTGGAAAGTAATGGCCATGGACTCCCATTTAGAAAGTTTTACAGGGTCAACTGAAGTCATGTCACCAAAATACCCCAGGAATTGAGGTTTCAGGCACCTTTCCTCTTCTTCAGGCAAGGAGCATTCTGCTGTTTGGACAGTGTGGGAAAGAAGCCCTTTGGTTCCCTAGGTCACAGCCAGCTTTTCTTCCTTGGTGGGGCTGTCATATTTCCCAGGGCGGGTGTTGAAGAAATTATCAGGAGAGGAGGGTTCTCCTAAGAGACAATGGAAACTTAAGAACAGTCAAGGTGGATCTAACCTAATCCAGCTGCCATTTAGCTACCATGCTACGCCCACAGCCATAAGGGTTGTTCAGAGAAATATCCTCCTGTGTTCAATGATCAGTATTTATCTATTATTATTATTATTATTATTATTATTATTATTATTATTATACTTTATATACCACCTTTCAACTGAAGACATAAGGGTGGTTCACAAGCTAAGAGTACAGAATAAATGCACATAAAAAATAATTATTATCAGCTAAAGGCCTGGTTGAAGAGGAACATTTTTGCCTTGCACCTAAAGACGTATAATGAAGGCACCAGTGGAAATTCTCCAGGGTGAGAATTCCACAATCATGGAGCTGTCACAGAAAAAGGCCCATTCTTATGTTTCCACCTTCCTGACCTCTTGTGGAAGAGGCACATGAAGGGGAGAGGCAGTCCTCAAGGTGGGCTCACACTTACAAGCCACACACCAATGTGTTCCCTGGCCACATCTTCCCAGAGGTCATGCATTCCACAGCCAAATGAAAGGGAGCCTAAGGCTACAAATCTATTTGTTCTTCCCTGGGAGTAAGCATGAGTGAACACCACTGGAACATTCTTCCAAGTAGACCAGTGGAGGCTGCTCTATAAGGACAAATGGGGGCACTGCTCCACCAACCTCACTCTGCTCTCAGGTAGCTCCCATTCGTCTGCCTTCTTACTTACAACCCAGTCTATGGACAGCACTGCCTGTCAGCTTCCTCTTCTTTAAGCTTAGTGTGGATGGTGGAGGATGGGAATAAAGCTATAATCAGTACTATTTTTCTAGAAAAAGAGGCACCAGAACTTACTATGAACACCTCCCTTGTTCTCTTATAATGGCAATGGCAATGGCACCCAGCTGAGAGGTGCTGGAACTGAGTTCTAGGCAATTGAAAAAAAGCCCTGGCTATAATTAATTGGCTTGGCCTGTCATTGGCTCTGTCTCTTAACTACTGCTAGGATGCCTGCCTGCTGGCCTAGCAGCCCCAATGGGCACAAGCCACGACTGAAGTAGACATGCCTTGTATCGTACTGAAAGGAAGGGGCAGGGCCCCGGTAATTACAAATATTGGCTTGACAATCCTGCAAGACACTTAATGTTTGCAGGCCCTGGATAATTCTTCCTCCATTCCCCCCCCCCCCCCGAGTCCCCATCTTCTTGCTTCAGATTGAATTATTCCTCGAGGGCACATATAACTCTGGTTATTATATGGTATGAACAATAACTACAACAAATCTCTTAAAATGCATCACTTCCTTTGTAATTTAATCTTGAGTTGATCTAAGAGTAGGCCTTTGAGCCTTGCAGTTAATCTTATCCCCCAACCCCATGAGAAACTCAAAATGGTTTGGGGAGCTTAATCTTGTTGACTGAAAGCTCTTCATTATAGTTTCAAGTAAAGACAGGAAATCACAAAAGAAGTGGCACTCCCACAGACAGGAAAGGCAAACTCATTGGTGATGGGGGGAGTCGTCTTTTTAAAGAAATCTTTCTTGGAGGGAGTTAGCTGATCTAAGGTAGATCTTTAACTCATACATACACTCACATATCTGCTTCCCTCCATTTGATACAAGAGGTGTTGTTTTTTAATGCTTAGATTTTGTTTTGTTTATGGTTGTTTTTTTTAAAAAATGACCAACTTCCAATTTCTGGGGAGAACTTCATCTTTTTGTAGATTCCTTTTGTAGATGCTTTTCTAATAAAATGGTGAAAGCCTATTTTATAACAATCCCTGTTTTGTAAAAACCAGTGGTTTCCTCCAGTCTTCTAAATGTTCAGTTTCCGTGGAGTTAATTCTTACACGGAAATACTGAAGCTTTGAAATAGAAGGGAATTGCGTGTCCCTCACCCCTACTGTCAAAATGTATGTGCTCCACCGCACAAATTATGTGGGGTTGGAATGTGTATGTCTAGTTCCTGGGTTACATATTGACTGCAGATCAGAACTGTTAAAGCATGTCTGGATAAGGTGGAAAGCAGGATCTTGGTACGTATGAAGTTCAAGCTATGTAGATTGCTAGAAAAAGAAAAATATGGAGATGGCATATTTTTTCACTTCTCATTCAAAACCTGAGACGTAGAATCCATTTCGTAACTGGGATCTGCAACAAAAAGTTGCAGTGTGTAATGATCCCAATTTAGCAAGCCACACCTTCTTTCAGGACACTATTCAATTCTCTCCTCTACCCCCACTTCACAAGACATCCAATATTCTGTGGTCATTGAACATCGCTCACTCCTCAATGGGGTGGTTTTCTGTGGGGCACTCCTTAGATTCCTCACACACAAATGTTTTTTGTACTTCTGCAAACCTGCTCTCATGCCAATGCTTCCTTCTTGTTTCTCACTACACCTGTTCTGGCTACATAGCCATCATAATTCAGCAGCTAAGTTTGCTGTTTCTGTATATTGGGGTGGGAAACTCAGGCTTAGGAGCCAAACGCAATTGTCCAGGTCACTCCATCCAGGACCCTCCCAGCCCTCACTAGCACTTCCAAGGCCACACCCCCTCCCTAGAGGCCACACCCCTTCACTGGCTCTGCTCCACATTTGAGTGCCCTTGAGCTGTGTTAATTTATTTTGCTTGCTTGGATGGAAGATGGAGAGGGGCATGTGCAAAGCACAATGCAGTTCGCATATTCCCCTAAAACGCATCTTTATAAATCACTTCCTCATCTTCTCTGAACCTCATCCAGCAAGATCTAAAGTTGCAACAGCCAAGGGAGGAAACCAGATTCAGAAAAGGTCCTGAGCTGAGCTGTATAACGCCTCTGCAGCAGGCAAAATTGATCACTTGGGACTTCCAGTTACGAGAAGAACATTTTGCAACAGGTCAAACCAACATCATTTGTCAAGCGGCATGAAGAACAGTTTCAAAACATCATGTCAGGATGAGAAACAGATGCTTTACACTTCTAAAGCATCTCTTTTTATGAATGGATGTGCATTTTCAGTCTCTGACAGCGTTCTTGCTCATATAGACACAGTCTGGAAGAACTGGATCCCAGCCATCAATGCCTGAGGGACATCAAAGGAAAGGACAGAGAGGCCCCGAAGGACAAACAGAATACAGGCAAGCAGAGATTCATGCCAGAAACAGTCTGAGTGTCAGGATTCACACTCGGGGTGCACAAAAATAAAGAGGAAAGTGCCTCTGAGCATGCACTGAGTAGATCTCTCTCAGTCCTAGGTAAGAGGTGGAACGGTTTCCAGAGCAGATAGAACCCTTTTGAGAAACAAAGGACTCCTTGCAGCTAGGGTGACAAAGTATCCTAGTCTGCAGATGACAGTTGTCCGTTTAAGGAATGGTCCAGTCCAAGTTCAGTTTAAAGTTAAGAAGGAGGTAAAGGGGCCTTGACATTTCCCATTAACAGTCTGCAGGTCTGTTACTGTATTCCCCACTGCAATGAAATGTGTTGTATTCCTATTTAACTATGTCTAAATATGCATCCAGGGATATAAATCAGCATATGCGCAAAAAAATGTTCCTCCCCCCACACACACACACCTTTTTTGTGATGTGGTTTTGTTGTTGTTGTTTTGGTCATGCTTCTCCCAGCATGACTCCTCCTGGATGCCACCACTGCCATAGTTGTAAAAATGTGGTGAGCTTTTTAAAAGACATCACACATACTGCCCATAAATGTTTGCTAAGTAAACACAAATATCTCCCGGAACAGCAAGTTCGTGTGGCATAGACAACTGACCGACAATTTTATTTCATTATATTATTCTTAAGCTACAGGGTCAATTCACAAACAGGCCAGAATCTGCAGGCAGACGTAGGTTATCTTAATGATCAATTGTGATATTCAGAAGACATCTTTTTCTAACAGTCCTTTCTCCTTTTGGATTTGGCTTACTCGTTTCCATGTCTTCTGCTTCACACCTCCTGGATGTCACTCTCTTCCCCACTAACCTACCTGCCAACAACCCTTGCTGCCTGCAGGTCTGTCACGAGCCTTTTCCATAGGCCTTTACCTTCCTTCCTAAAACAGCACTGTTTTCATTAATGGTCACTTGCAGGCACCTTCTCCTTGAGCAGTCAGAATGTTCACAAACATTCCATAGCAGCACCATCAATGGGGTCAGGGCAAAGGAGAGGCAAAACAGCTCACAAGCAACAGCAGGCTATCTGTATGGGTCCTGTGTGCTCTAAAAAAAAAACAACTAATCACAACTAGCATTTGTAAAATAACTGACACAACAAACCTTGTTCAGGCACCTGAGACCCCATGGAGGTGACGCTGGTATTCAAAACATCGTTGACAGCTGTGTCACAGTACAGCCCGCGCTGGACATCATGCTCACTGTCTGTCTGGTCACTCTCCTCATGCCCGCTGTCCTTCAGGCTGTTCCCCTCCAGATCTTTGAATGTCGAACTGCTGGGTGGAAGAAAGAAGAGTGATTTACTCTGCAGAGCTGTGTCTGAAAACACAAAGCACCCCCATGGCTCAGAGGGTTTCAAAAGCCTCAGGCAGGATCTGCAGCATTCCCACCATCCCGTAGGGAGCAAGGTAAGCTTTCTCCACCAGGGTGTCAAAAGAGGGCTATTTCCAGTACAAGAGAGCAGCCACTCCAACTCATTGATCTTGGCGCTTGGCATTCAACAAGGCAGTCAGAACTGGAGGCAGCCCCCAAGGTGTGCAGAAAATTAGAGAAGATTCTTGCTCTTATCCTCCTGCGAGCCTAAGCTGCGTTGTAGCTTGCAGAACAAAGTGAGGACAAGGAGGGAAGCTTGAGCAGATCACAGCCAGAGCTCCACTAGAGGCAATATTGGGGTGGGAGGGAAGGCACAGGAGCACCTTCTCTGTGAGACCGGAGTAATCGGAAGAGACAAAGTACAACAACAATCCAACCTACTCAGATCAGCACAAGATGTACATCTCTGAACTCCTGCAATGGCACAGAAATAGAGGTCTCCTGTGATTGCTAGTGAAGTGCAGCTGAACATTACGAGGTATGCTTAAGTAGAACTCCCGGGCTAGGTTACTAAATGCACAGGAAACACCTAACAGGACACGGCAGCTGAGCAAGGAACCCACGGAACAGATGCAATATTTAAATGTTCACATCCTTGTAAGACTATCTTTCGCAACAGGCAATTTGCAAGGAACATGGTGTTGCATGCACCTGCCATGGGCTTTGTGCTTGTGGCCTGAGAAATGCGAGTCAGGAATTCATCCAAAGGGCTGAGAAAGAAGAAACCAGCCAAAAACTCCTGTGTCAGGCATGCAGAGCTGCTGCAAGAAGACTGGTTTCAGACCTGCTTTGCCTTATTCCCCCCCCTTCCTTTGCCACACTCTCCATTGCGGGGGATCCCATGTCTGATGGCATAAGAGGCCCAGTCAACTGATCAGCTGAGATTTTCCTGCTCTTCCCACCCTCTCCCATCACCATGGCATCCAGCACTGTCACCTTTGATGGCTGCCAGAGCTTCAGTCCCTGGTGCCATAAGAATATAAGGAAAGCCCAAAGACAGTGATAGAGCATCTGGTTTGCATGCTAGAAGGTCCCAGGTCCAAATGCTGGAATCTCCCAAGTAGGGCTGAGAAAGGCCCCTGTCTGAAACCCCTTGGATTGCTGCAGCCAGTCAATGCACGCATTGCCGAGCTCAATGGACCAGTGCAATAATAATAAAACATCTGAAGGGCACCTGGTTGGGAAAGGCTGTTCTATAAGGACACTGCTTCAGGGGAACCACGGTCTTGCTGAATCAACTCATAGTTCCATAAGTCTGGAGAGAGAGTCAGGAAATAAACTACTACAATTCACTGCTTTGAAGCTGGCAAAGCCAAAGTTTAACCCTCACAACTCCAACAGCACTGGGGCTTGCACTGCTCCCAGTGACTCAAGCTAGGCAAAAGCCCAAGGATCTCCAGCTGAACAACCAGAATTGACAGGAAATGGCTTCTCAACCACAAATACAGCAGACAGGGCACACGTAGGCAGTTAGTAAGGAAGGATACTCAATCCTAGCCTTTCCAAGCCCTGCAGTACATATTGCATAGTGCTTCAATCTCTGCTAGTCCCTCCAAATGTTGTTGGGCTCCCAACTCCCACCATCCCCAGCCACCATGGTCAATGGTCAGGGCCAGCAACATCTGGAAGAGGAGCAGGTTTCCCACCCTTGATTTAATGTATAAATTTTAAATTATAAGACTTTGCAAGTCTCACCATACTCTCTTTTTAAAGTACTGAGATCAGAAGTTTAAAAGAAGAGTGGGGAGACTTGTAAAGCTGTCAAATTTGGCCTGCAAGGCTGATCCTGATAAAGATCTGGCCTGTGGATACAAAAAGGTTCCTCACCTCTTAGCTTAAAAACCTGTCCCACCACCTTCTGAGGCAGTCTGCTCCATGACTGAACAACTCACACGGTCAATAATTTCTTCTTAAGGTTAAGTCAAAATCCTCTTTCCTGTTTGCTTTATATGTGGAAGCTACCTGAGAAGGACTTCCGCACTCATCTTATTACAGCCAACATCCAATTTAACTCAGGAACTTTCCTTTTTTAGGTCTCTAATAGAGATTTTTTTTTGGGGGGGGGACTGTGGCCCTTTGAATGTTGTTGGACTCCAACTCCCATCACCTTCAGCCAACATGACCAATGGCCAGAGGTGATCGGAGCTGCAGTTCAACTGGCAGACCACAGAAAGCTGTTGTGGAAGTAGCTAAAACACAGTTTTGCTTTCTGGAGGTTTGGAATAAACCATGAAAATTAGAAGACCCTGCGTTGAAGGCAGCTAGACACTGGAAGCCAGTGAAACAGTTTCTTAGTAGGAGCAACAAGACCCTTCCTGCAGGATGACTTAGGAGGAACAGAAGTTTTGAGTCTTGCTATTAAGAGAGATCAGGTATTGGTGAACACAATGGGCTCCTCAGTCAGCAACCAAGCAAGTGTAATGTTCCTGACTGGTCAGCAGATAGCTAAATGTCTAGCTGTCCTCCCCACATGGTCCCAGCTAACCAGTCACCAATCCTATGCTTGCATGATGGTGACCGAAATCCCCCCTGCCTCCAGTGTTGCCTCCTGTCATATTGAAATATGTTTGGACATTCCCTTCCTAACATGATCAAACAGGTTAGCAAAAAAAACAAAACCAGCCAGCGATTCTTCCTGGCAAATTTCTTTGCTGGCCACCAGGACAAGAGGGCCATGGAAATGGCTCACACTTCAAAGCCTTGGGGAATTACGCATGCATCTGTTTGCAAAGACCTTTTCAGGTCTCCATGGAAACCAAGTGGACCACCGACCACGGGATGTTGTGCGGAACCAAGAACAGCATGCAGGAAAGAGGAGAGAGAAAAGCCTGGGCTGAGACACACGAAAACTGGAACACCTTCAAATGCAGCCTTTTAAAATAAAGACATCCCTGCAGAAGCCCTTTAAACCTAGGATTTAGCCAGCATGCACAGGAGGCAGGAGGCGAGGGAGAAATCAATTCAGAAAGACCAAACAGATTAATTAAAAAGTAAGGATTTTGAGATTCACACCACAAAGTTAAGGCAGCAATCACACTTCTCCAAACAGCGACGTTTTGCTGGATTAAAAACACACCGGAGGATTAATAGTTGACATTTCAGCTCTCTGATGAATACATCATGCTCATGACATTCATTAGGGCAAGACTTTCAGCAGCACCCCTTGGATGCAGTTCTTTTTTCTTTTTTTCCTCGGCTTTATCCCTTGACATATCAGGAATTCTCTTTGCAGATCAAGCATATGGAGCCATCTCTATCTATTATTGCATTTATATACCATCTTTCCTCCAAGCTGCTCAAGGTGAGCTACACAGCTCTTCCCCTCTCTATATTATCCTCACACTACCCTATGAGTAGGTTGGGCTAAGAGGTGGTGACTGGCCCAAGGCCCATCTGCAATATCATACCACTTTAAATAATCATGGTTTTCCCCAAAGCATCCTGGGACCCATGGATTGTTAAGGGTGCTGAGAGTTGTTAGGGTACTCCCACATTCCCCTCATAGACCTGCAATTCCCAGAGTTGCCTGTGAAGAGTTGACTGCTAAACTGTTAAACCACTCTGGGAATTGTAGGTCTGTGAAGGGAACAGGGGTCTGTTTTAGCATACCTTGCTCCAGCAAAGGAACAATCACACCAGCAGCTTCAAGTGTTCCTTTGAAGGCTCATTGGTAACCTGTCCCGGTTAGACATCACACATGACATCAGGTATGGGGCAGATGGGTATAATTTGTCAGGAATAGCCTGGCGGACCAAACTGGGATAGCTTCTGGGACAGACTTGGTCCACAGGCAGACAACATCAGAGAAACACGTAAGGATCCCTGCTTGCTGGCTGTAGCCATAGAGCTCCCCTGTACTCTGTCCATGGTCCTGATGCCTTTGTCGCAGGTCTTGATTTCTAGCTCCCGAATTTCTGCTTAGTCTCACTTCCAAGGCTATGAAGCAGGGATGGAGGGAGGCAGGGAGAAAGAGCTGCATACACCAAGTTCCATATAATCAAACATCTGGGCAATCTGTACTTTATATATATATACATTTGCCTTTTTAGCAGAAGCAAAGCCCATGATGCAAGAGGTCAACCTACAACACCAGGCTCTCTCTTTAGTCCCTTTCCCAAAGTGTGGAAAGCTTTTTCTGCAGTTAAATAATTCTTCCACCAAATCACAGTAAACTACCACCAAACTGTCAGTTTAGTTTAATGGTAGGTGCAAAGCAAAAGACATGAATAGATTTCTTCTACGGAAAGGACAAACTCCATATTGGACTGCAATGAACAATACGATGCAGGCCGCAATTTTCTCTACCACAGCAATTAGAAGATTGTGGTTGAATATCATGAGCAATGCAGACAAAAAAATATTCATTTCCTTGTCTGAATGGAAGCTGTCTACATGACATGCTCATAATTGCCACACTCCTTATATCTCTTTTACAAAATGGGAGCTTTGGGGCAAGGGGATAATCAGATCCTCTGAAAGGATGTAACAAAATGCACAGAACTCATTGTGCGATCCGTCAAGTCCTCATGGGTGCACTGATTCAAGCAAGCTAATAGAATCATAGAATTGGGAAAGGGACCAAAAGGTTCCTGAGTGGGTTTCCCCTCAACAATTCAATGCTTAAAACGGGAGTTGTAATTAAGGCTGCAGTGTTTAATCAATTGATCAATGGAAACAATCAATTTAAAAACAATTTTGATAGACAAAAAGCGGCTTCCAGTTAATTAGGCAGAATATTTTTTTTGTTACTATATTTAATGCAAGCATATCTATTGATCTATCAATCTATTGGTTGATCTACCTATATAATGCAAGCACACACACACACACACACACACACAGAGAGAGAGAGAGAGAGAGAGAGAGAGAGAGAGAGAGAGAGAGAGAGATGCATGCTTTGTGCATGGCTGGCATCAACAACAGGCAATTGCCAGGGCCCCAGCAGCACAGCACAGTTCACTGATGCCTGCCATAGTTTACTTCATTAAAATGAGAATGCCCAGTCCAGTTTTCCAGGCAGCACCAGCCAGCTTGTTGTAGCTACCCTATTAACTTCTCATGGAATGGATCCATAAAGTCCTTTAGGGAGGAACCATAGCACAATGTTAGAGCAACTGCTTTGCATGCAAAAGGTCCCTGGTTCAATCTCCAGGTAGGACAAGGGGTTGGGAGAGACTCTGAAATCCTAACGAGCTGCTGCTGGCAGCCAGTGTAGACGATACTGAGGTTGATGGACCTATAGTTTGGACTCAAAGCAAGGCAGCTTCCTTTGTTCCAGAGAGCACTTTGCGCAGGAGCTGGCCCTGGTAAAAACAGCAGGTGGCAAGCACCATCTTCAAAAAACAGAGCTCCTTTCCATGCGGGAAGCTACAAGAAATTCCCCTTCTAAGATGATGAGCAGGATCTAACTAACAAGCACTGCTAGTGGAAGCTGGCATAAGGGCACCCACTAGTGCAATGGGGCTTTTTTCTTTCACAAGCAAAGTCTACACTGTAGGGGCTCATCCATACCTTTGTTCCACATTTTCTAGCCACAGGTCTGGGCTTTCCAAGCCCAAATCCAAGCAGTAGGTATTTATGCCCCAGCACTTTTCCTGGGAAAACCTGTGTTTTACCACTGAATTGGAGCAAACATAAATTGGGTTTTCTGCAGATTGCCATTTTCTCTGAATCAGCAGTGAAATGGGGTTTTTGCATCTTGCGACTGGCATTCGGAAGCATAACAACTGCAGAGAAATGGGTTCCAAAGTCTTACGGTAATGCTAACCAAAACAACAGCAGGGTTCGGCTGCATATGAATGACACCAATGCACAGAACTATATTTTAAAACTAAAAATGAAGTTAACATAGTGAAATTAGAGCTTGCATGGTACAGCAAGGAAGAGAAAGAAGAAAAAACATGAAACACTGTTATCCTCCTAAACTGCCTTCATGTTCTCTGATCACATGGGTTACTAACATACCTTTGTCGACAGCCACAAGGAATAGATTGGAAGCCTTCCTTCCTGAATTAGATTAACCATAGTTTAGCATGTCATCTGAATCGTAAACTGTGATCAGTATTAACTGTGGTTTGTTTAAACAACCACAAACCATGTTTTGAAGGTGACTTGTTTCAAATAACCATAGATCAGGGGTGGGCAATGTGCTGCCCTCCATATGTTGCTGCATTACAGCTCGCATTATCCCTGACCCCTAATGGGAGCTGGAGTCCACAAATTCTGAAGGACACCATATTAGCTACCCCAAATTTACATTAACAATAGTTCTGATAAAACCGTAGGCAAGCTGTGATTAATCTCAACTGGAAGCAAACCCTTCTAAACTCCTTCTTTTCAGCACACTGGAGAAAGAGTGGGGATCACACAAACCTATGGAAGGAATTCAACATAGTGATATGACAAAAGTGCTTTTCAGCTTGAAGATTCCATATGTTGTTCTGGATTCTTTTTCCCCCAGGGGCTGAAGTGAGCCCACAGGGAGAAGAGCTGAGGGAACCCACTGCTGTAGAGAAAGTCCTTGCATGGCCTTCCACTAACAGGACTAAGTAGTTGAACCCCCCACCCCCCACCAAAGGGCTTGCTGATGCTTCTTATCAGCACACTAAGCAAACATTTAGCAAAACATCTATGCCAGGCCAATAAGATTTTGCTGGCAGAAACGGAATCAAAACCAAAACCAACTATTTACCAGTTTGATTCCGGTGCACATGACTTACGCCACAAGCATTGTAGCGAGGGTAAAGGTAAGGAGAATTAGAATGCATTTTTGTCCGCTGTGAAGTGCTTCTGAAATGTTAGTAATTATTGTCAACACGTTCACTGGGGACCAAATTCATTCCTGAGTTTATGCTTGGATGAAGCCAGGGCAAGGATAGATTTATTTTAATAAAGAGGGCGAGGGGAGGGGAGTATGGGGGATGGGAATGAACTGCAATACAAATGTGTGTATTTTTATTTGCAATTCAAACTTCAAGCGAGGAAAGAGTGGTTGCGGGGGGGGGGGGATGGATCCCAAGCTCAGCTGCCTTACCTCCCCCCACCCCCGACAAGTTCCTTTTCTCTCCTGATATGCCAGGGAGCTCTCTTCATCCACATCTATCATTTTATTCTTGTGCATTGAAAGAGAACAAACTCTATGAATTATAAGTTGTCAGGGTAACAGGGTTCTGCCTAACTGTATGCTCACTTTCCTATATGAATGAGGCACAGCTCATTGGAGAAGGGTGTGTGTGTGTGTGTGTGTGTGTGTGTGTGTAAACTAAAGGCCAAGGCAGTGAGAATTTAATGGGATGCAAATGCTGGGGGGGGGGTGTGTGTGCGCGTGTGTGTGTGTGTGTGTGTGTGTGTGAGAGAGAGAGAGAGAGAGAGAGAGAGTTTCAAATGAACAGATTCTGTACACACTAAATGAGCAGAAAATAATGGGGGAAGTAAAGTGTTAGACAATGTGAATTCAGTTTAAAACTAAGTACTTCTCCCCCCCTGCCACCCCCCTGCCACCCCATAGAAAGCAAACAAACACCCTACATACCTTTTTATTAAATGAGCTCTGCTGTTCACATAGTTGGAATCAAAAGAGTAGTTTTCAGTCTGAAAGGAGAGGGGGGAGGGGAAATAGAGATGGTTACATGCACAATCCATTGGCAGTTTGAAAGAGCCAGGCAAGCTGGGACAAAAGCCACAAGTTAGGGGTAGGGGGTAGATTAATCTGCCCCACCTCAGTTCCTCACTTCTCCATCCTCGTGATTCAGTTCTCCACATTCCTGCAGCAATTCGTGAATCCTCATGAAAATTCATCAGCATTTTAGTGCAAACTTCTCCTAGCAAACACATTTTTGTATGCAGTATTGCCAGGTGTACACCTTTTTGCAAAGCCATTTCCCCAACAGAATCATATAATTTTAGAGTTGGAAGAGATTGTGAGAGTCACAACACCCACTCCACCCCCCCCCAGAGTGCAGGAAACTTTTGCCCAGTTTAGGGCCTGAACCCATGGCCCTGGGATTAAGAATCTCATACTCTACTGAATGAGCTATTTCAGCATTTTAAGTGTTATTTTCACTACTACAGGCACACTCTGCCCTAAGAAACACATTTCCCTACACATTACCTGGCTTGATAACCGCACTGTAAAAGTCAGAAAACAGCAAATTTTGAAGGATGGCTGGGTTCCAGTTCACATACTGTTTGGAAAACCTCTTTAAATGTGAACTAAATCAAATTTCTCCCCCATCCCTAAGTTGGTGAATAATGTAGATCTGAGCCACACCATCACCTCTCGCCAGCATGCAGGTGTGCCAGCACCTTCACATGAAACAGCTTAAAGGTAAAGGTACCCCTGCCCGTACGGGCCAGTCTTGACAGACTCTAGGGTTGTGCGCTCATCTCATTCTATAGGCCGGGAGCCAGCGCTGTCCGGAGACACTTCCGGGTCACGTGGCCAGCGTGACAAGCTGCATCTGGCGAGCCAGCGCAGCACACGGAACGCCTTTACCTTCCCGCTGGTAAGCGGTCCCTATTTATCTACTTGCACCCGGGGGTGCTTTCGAACTGCTAGGTTGGCAGGCGCTGGGACCGAGCAGCGGGAGCGCACCCCGCTGCGGGGATTCGAACCGCCGACCATGCGATCAGCAAGTCCTAGGCACTGAGGTTTTACCCACAGCGCCACCCGTGGTCCCTTATGAAACAGCTTACTGCACATAATTGCAAAGCTTTAAAAAAAACACCCCACTTGCAGTGGCATGCAAGAAAGCCAACCCGCACAGCAGTCTTGTGAAAGCGAATGCCATATATTTCATCAGAGCACATAATTTAAACGGCTGCCGCACAGTGGGATGCTGGCCACGAGCTTTGAATGTTTAGCCTGGAGATTATTAAAAGGCAATATGATAGCCATCTTCAAATATTTGAAGGGCTGTCACAAAGTTGATGGATGAAATTTATTTTATTTTATTTTTTTGCTCTTCCACAGCAGCAATTGCCAACTTTTCCGAGGGCTCGAGGGCACATTTGGAATTTGGTAGGAGTGCTATGGGCATCACCCCTTTGGTTGCTTATCTCACACTCAGCCGCTGCAGACAGAGATGAGAAAGCCTGTGCACACACACACACATACCAACACACACACACACACACACACACACACACACACACACTTTGCTTTTCCAGGGGGTCTGGGTGAAAGCTGGATCCAGGAGAATTAAAACAGATCCTTTTAAATTTGCACAAGGTGCAAATTTTACACAAGGTGCAAAAAAGACTCACTATCGAATTAAAGCTTAACAGTGCAAGACTTCACGACAAAAAATAATAATCACAGATCCAGTGCCTGCCAACCTCACAATAATACTAGTTTGTATCCAACTGAATCACACCCAGAGTAGAGACACACTGAAATCAATGGACATAGGTTATACGCTTTCAAAATGGTCATAAAGGCTGGAACCTTGATTTTAGTTTTAATTCAACTTAAGAGATTCTCAGGATGCTTATATGCCAAATTGTGCAGAGTGATGACAAGAAAACCTCTGGATGGTAAAAGACAGATACAAGGACCTGCAAAGGTTGGATTACCGAGAGGGCTTGAATTACCTTCCTTTTAGCTGCTGTTTCTAGAAGGCTACTGGGACCATGATCTGGCAAATCTGATACCATGCACAGAGTAGTGACTGCAGTTACTACATACTTGAATTTACAGCCTATTCCCCCCCCCAGGTAATGCACTTTACTCTGATCCCCAACAGCCCTGCAAGGTACGCCAGGCTGAGAAAGAATAACTGATCCAGTGAGCTTCATGGCTGAGTCATGGGGATTCGAAGACATCTTAACCCAGCATTTTCCAACTGGGTGGCCCTAAAAAGATGTCTTAGGCCTGTGCATCACATCCTGTGGAATCAAACACACAGTTCTTTAAGGCATGGTATTGCTTTCTGTCTGTTCCTTCCTGGCTATACCAACTGTGGCAGTTGTGCTATGCATTAAGTGAAGCTTCTGAGATATATTCTAGGGAGCAACATGTATACAGACCACTGTGACCAGACCAGACCTGTCCAGGAATGGTACGAGTTGGTAGGTTACCAATTTTATTATAAACAACAACATCTCATGTCTCTAAAATAAAAAAAAAATTAAAAAATGCTTTTTTGTCCAACGTCTAAACAATGAGCATGCATATTTTAGATCAGAAACTTATGCACTTGAGCGTCTTTTGGAACACTGCCTTTACAGAGCGGTCTGCAATGGCACAAACTAATTCAGAGGAGACCTAGAGCGCATAGAATTACCATTGCCTTGAAATAGCCTCACAGAGCATATTTTTAAGTGCTCAGTTTTATTCTGCCAATTGCTGTTGCTTGTTATTAAAACATTTTTTTCTAAAATGCTTACATTTCTTTTTTGGAAAACTAGTTTCGTTTTTGTGGGGTGTTTTTTTAAAAAAACACACCTCAAAATGTCCGTAAGGCACTTTGGGCACCTTCTAAAAGAAAAGTGGGACACAAATAAATAATTATGAGCCATATATCGTGTGTGTGTGTGTGTGTGTGTGTTTTGACACCTCAACGAAATTTTGCAAGATGGTTCCCAAGACCACAGAGCAGGTTTTTGTCTATGTCTGGATATGACTGGATGTCATTTTAAATCAAGATGGCAGGCTGAACCTTTCAAACTGCACTGGTTTTAATCACTGATTTCAAAACTGTACTGATTGCTTGGTTTTAGGATTTCTAAGCAACACTGCTACTACACATATAAGCACTTTTAAAAACAAAACAAAACTGACTTTCACAACAGGAGGATTCAGGTTTAAGTGCAGGCACGCTAGTATTCTTGATCCCTTTCCACTCTGGATGATTTTCTACTCATAAAACTTCCCCTCCACCTGTTTTCCCACCCTGGGGGGGGGGGCGGGGAGTTATGCAGCAGAGGAACTGAGAGTGGGAAATGACAGGTCCAGGGGTAAATAGTTGCCCCCTTTCCACTATTCCTCGATCAAACTCCCAGCCCCCAAGGCAACTTTTGGAGAGTGGCTTTACACCAATTCTAGGCCAGAGAAGTTGTGGTGATGAGCAGCATTTGGGCCATCACAGGCCACTAGTTCTCCTTGTGAGAGTTGCTTGTGAGAGTTACCTGACTAATATGCCGCCACATTTAGCAGGCCCAGAGGCGAAGAGCAGATGGCCCATCCTCAGGGCTTCAGGTCAGCAACTGTAAATCACAGGGCCATCAGCTTCCCTCAGATTGTGACCAATGAAACTGGGAGTTCCTACAATAATACCCAGAATTCTCTGGGAGGAGGGAATGATTGTTAAACAGCTCTGATAAGCGGTCTCCTGACAACTCTCAGCAAGACAACAGTTCCCAGGATTATTTGGGAGGAGCCATGCTTGTTTGAGGTGGCATGATACAGCTTTAATCATACAGTACAGGTGGGCCCTGAGAATGTGGGGGTTCCACACAATGACCTGTACATGCAGCTTTCCTCTTGCAGTGACATTTAGCATTGTGTATTTTCCCTGCCCCATTCAAAAATCCCATTATTTCCGCTTCTCGTGCAACAGGTATGAAGAGGGGAACAAAAGGAAAGAGAAAAGCTTTAGTGTCACAGTCTATTAGGTAATGGAAATTGCTCCCAAGGGAAAGCAACAGCCATTCTGCATCGCTTGGCAAAATAGAGCTGGACAAAGTGCTAAGGAATATTCAGCACCGAACGACATGTGTTGGCTAAGGAGATTTGACAGCTGCTCCGACTCAAAATCAGTAGTTTTATTAGCAATAAGATCTCTTCCATATTTCACAATCCCACCACGCCAGTCTGGTGTAAAGAAAGTCATGTCTCTTTTATCTTATATGGCTGCTGCCTGTCTATGGGCTGCTAGGATGTCAAGGAATGTTCACAAACATTTAAACCGCTCAGGGTGAAGGGACCCATAACATGATGTGACCAAACAGTTCAGCATACAGAAAAAAGAAGCAGAGAAAACACAGGACCCATAGGTGGCAGGAACAAAGAAGCAGAGAGAGTCTGAGAGAAAGGGAGGAAGGCAGGGTAAAAAAAACCTGAAGAAAAACTCACAAAGTCTAGAGAGAGGAAACGCTGTGTACCCAAGACAGAGAGAGAATAAGAAATACCTTGGAAGTTCGGGGAGCAGGTTTGGGAGCTGAGCCTAGAGAGAGAGGACTGTTTAGTCATGGGAGAAGCTATATAGAGTATTGGTGCCCCAGTTCCTGGTCATCTGCTCAGATTCCACATACAGAGTAACAAGCACTGATTTCCTGAGATTTCCCCCAGGCAAACTTACAGGCCTAGTTTCTACTTCTCATTTCAAAAAATGAAATGAAAGGTGATGCTTCCACCGAATTGTGTCTCACACAATTCCACCGAATTGTGTCTCACACACCAAACATGGTGGATTCCAAGCAGTGAAGAGAGTGCCCAATCAAGACTCTCATATGAATGTGCATTGCGTGTCTTCTCTTATCTGGCCTGATTCCCCTTTACACAGCCCAAGGTTATTACAGCACTGGGCTTCACAGAACTCATCCCAATCACCAGCCACTCAGCTGCAGGTGGCATGGTAGGGTGGTGATCC